ATCGATCTACTCCAAACCGGACCCGGACGCTTACACTTGCATTAATTATCATGTATCCAGTCCCCCTTATACAACCACTTGTTCCTAGCCTTCCAGAGATTCCATAGCAAACAAGCTGACAGTCCCAACCTATCTTCTTTACCTTTCAAATGTTTAGCACCACAGATCTGAAACCACCAATTCTGAAACACCCCACCTCCTTCAAGCTGAATATACCAGTTAACACCACTCAGCTTCCAATAATTTTTGGCTCTTTGACAATTAAATAAGATATGATTTAAATCCTCCTCTTCTTCTCCACAAACAGCACAAATTGAGTCAATATCCATACCTTTCCTCAAAAGTTGATCATTTGAGCCCAAATACCCAAACCAACACCTCCACAAGAAATTTTTAATTTTGGACTTGATGTTCAGCTTCCAAGTTGTTTTCCACATCTTTAACCATAAGCAATGGATCTCTGCTTGAACTTGCCCACTCCTGCTCCTTACTTTTCCTTTACATAATTGCCTTATAAACTTCTTTGACTAAAAATTCTCCCTTTGGACGCCAGTGCCAAATAAGTCTATCAGGACCACCAGCAATAGACAATGGGATTCTAGAAATAATCTCTGCAATCACAGGCTCAAAAGTTTGAAAGATAAGATCCATATCCCACTGACGCAGCGAAAGATTAAACGAAGGAACAAAGAACTCAAGAACAGATAATTTTATTCATCAACGATCAATCCCCCAACATCTGCTCACAACTCTTAATAAATAGAGTTCCAAAAACTAAAAAGTCTTACTTAATTTAAGAAAAGAAATAGTAATAACTTTCCTAAATCAACTAAATAAAATAGGCACTAAATAAATATGATATGCTAAATAAATAAAAATAGGAAACTGAATAATAAGATAACGATCAATGGCGACGACGGTCTCGTTTCTCCATAAAGGCAAGTGCGATCTCGTCGCCATCATTCTCCCCCGGTTTCAAAGGATTCGCCCTCGAATCCAGTGCGATCTCGTCGTCGTCCGAGTTGTCACCGTGAAAAGGCACCAGATGCTTGACATTAAAGACATCCGAGGTGCGTAAGTGCGAGGGAAGACGAAGGCGATAGGCGTTCGGATTAATCTTCTCAACTATTTCAATTGGGCCTATTTCGGGCCGCAAGCTTGCTATACTCATGAGCGGCAAAGCGATCCTTAGTCAAAACGGCCCACACGAAGTCCCCCACCTCAAACTCAACATTTCACCGCCGCCCATCCGCCTGCCGCTTGTACGCGGCCGTCGTCACCTCGAGGTTGGCCTTCGTCGACTCATGCGTGCGGCGCAAATCCGCCATGAAATCCTCCG